ACTGTGGAATATTTGGGATCTTCGAAATGCGATTGTGCAAGGAAAAATATCTGAAACATTGTTGTTTTTAATAGATCACAAAACACAAATATTTATAGAAGAAAACTCATTCTATATGTTCTGTGAAAGCAAAATAGGAAATTAAAATTCCCCTTCATTATAATGACTAAGGTTTTTGTTTAAGAGCTTACTAAATTATAACAAACAGATGCAAACAAAAAAGCAAAGTTATTATAAATAATTGTTTAGTACTGAAAGCCCCGAAAAACGCATTTGTTATCCGGAGAAAAGTTTGGAGAAATTCTGGGAAAACCGAATTGTTATCTTTCGATTTCCTGTTGATGTTTATTGGGTAATCACGGGAATGTTTACTCCATGGCTGTGGATTCAAAAGGGATTTTTTTAGGTAGAAATCCCCTTTTACTCACGTCCACGTTCACTTTCCCCATGAAGGGAATTCCAATTCTGTTATCAAATGCTGAACTCGAAACCAAAAATCGATAATGTGAGTATACCGCACGCATTACAAAGTCGGAAAAGGTGGAAATGATATTTGATGGGTGGTTAGGTGTTTTCTTTCTCGGGGGGTTGGGGATGTGCACTGAAATCGGAGCCAAAAGAGCAGTCAACAAATATGTGTACCTGCATATTTACGTCTGGCTACCTTGTCAATACTGAAATGTCTATAAACAACAAAGGCAAACAAGTGATAAATCGAGCAGTAGAAGCCCAGGCCTGTGGGCTGAAAATCACGGAAATCCCACGAAAAGTGCACGCATTTCACCCCCATTCCATCGAATAGTCAAGTTCGTTGAACATTTATTTATGATTGCCGCTGCGTTATATTCGTATGTATGTTTGTATGTTTGTTTAGTTGAACATGCAATGGTGGTAATGGATGCACGATAGTACGAACTAAGTTCTCGGGCACTGCCAAAGTCATAAAATCGTCAGGCAAATGAGTCCGCATAGCATTAGTCAGCTGCACAGCGAGAAAAAGTGCTGAATTTGGTCAGCTGGAAACAGTATTGTATTACTGCGCAGTTTTTACAAAGAAAAGAAATTCTGATAACGTAAAATGTAATTTTCTAAAAAGTCATTTTACACAAAACAAAATAAAAAATTTAAAAAACTAAAAAACACTGAAACTTCAAAGAACAATGAAATATTTTTTAAATATTTTTCTTTTTTAAGGCGTCTTGACGTTATAAAATTTTAAATTGTATCCAAATTATAATTTTTACGAGTATGTAACTTTTTAATAAAAGAAATTTTTATCAGAATAAAGTCAGAATTTCTCTGAGTGCATATTTATGCATAGAAACACAGCACAAGTTTTTGTTTTCCGAGGCAACGCACACAGTGTGCACCATAAAAGATGCAACGAGCTGCGAACATTGGCACAATGGTCTCCTCTATCAATACGGCTCGCACATACACATTCGCCGACTTATATAGGGCCATATAGTTGTGTTTATAAGTGCAGTTTTATAGCTACAATCACATTACACATACGCCATGTCGGCCCGTCGATTGCCAGCTGTCCGCAGTGGGTTAGAGTTCAATGATTCCATGATTTCTTGATGTACATCTCCACTTTGAGTCAGTCTCTTAGATTTTATTAGTTTAAATGAAACTGGAGTCTATCCTTAACTTTCTTTAATTGGGAACCATGTTGCCTTTGAATTTACTAACACTATTTTACAATTCAGAACAATAATTTATAATTAAACGAGTTATTGGTGTAAACTAACGATGAATTACAATAATTAACTTATATTTCCGCTTCAAGTTGCGGTTTAAATGGTAACTCAAACTTAAATGGGTTTTGAGTCCATTGAAATGCACACAACCATTTATCATCATTTCAACATTAGCCATAAATCATTTAAATTGTTCGAGATGCAGTCCATTCAATCGAACACTCCCAGTGTGTGATTGGCATTAAAAACTTTGCCAAAAATTGATCTATCGGTTGGATATCACTCTTTTTTCGTCTGCTACACATTCGAACCTTCCGTTACGTTTAATTTTTGAACGAGCTTTAAATACATTTCCGCTGTGAGATAAAATTTGGTGTATCTGCAGATAACATTATGCCAAACACGTAGGTTTTTGCCGCCGAATTGAGAGACAAAACCAAAAGGTAACACGACCAAAAAATTGCTTATTAATCTTTTTGACGAAATCACCAGAAAAAGAGACATTTCAGTCGTTACGTTTGATTTTTTTTTTTTTTTTTGAGCGTATTCTTTTCCGTTGAATTTGAGTTTGCGACATAGAAGCGTTTGTTTGTTGTTCTTTGGGGTTATTTTTAGTCAGTCCAGGATGTTTGCAAATGCTCAGAGTTTTAATGTTTGGTTTCGTACATAATTTATGGTTGTTTGGCATTAAAGCATTGGCTGACTTCAAGTTTTTCTCGTGATGTGGAAACTTCCTAAGACGACCTTGGGTGCAAGACAAAGCACTAATCTTCAATCTGCCAGCTGAGCTCGTTGGTAAATAAACAAACAGCGCGGGCTTGTATCTCAAAATTGATTTTGTGCCCTCTGCAGAGGGAATGTCTCGAGTTGCCCCAGACAATGGAACGAAAACGGAACCCACTAGATTCACCCGCGGAAACGTGCGTAATGAGTTAAAGATACATTTGCCTATATCGGTATCGCTAACTGTATCTGTGGCCGCTCTGCTGCAATATTGACACGCTTCCGAGCACCCTGTAAACACAAATCGATTGAGGGGAAAAGCAAAAAAAGCAAGAAAAAAAAGAATCGAAGCAAAATATGTAAGCATGTCAGAATCGAGCGTCGTGTGTCCAATACTGAATGTATCTTGTATCTATATCTTGTGGCGTGTTTGTTTTTGCCCGCTCTGCCGAGCGATTAGACACAGGAGGCCGCAAAATGTTATGACTGCGAATAAAACCAGGTTACAAAACGCAGCAGACACAACATAAAGGAAATTACAGCTGTCGGCACACATTATGCCGCGATATGCTGCCACCAGCTCGACTCGGAAAGCATCCAATAGTGCATCTTCTGTGGGCCGAGCAAAAGCGAGTCTGCGACTGATAAAAAGTCAATTAAACTGAATTGCATTCTTGCACATTGGAGCACAGCTCGTCTGGCGAAGAAAGTAGCCCCTAGAGCTAAACAAAGAATTCTCATTCAGCAGCACAGAAAATTTATGATTCTAGATTTATTTGTTTTAGGTTTTTGTTAAATAAAATATTTTTAAATGTTTTCAAACTCAAAAGATTGAAGTTATTTATTTTTGACTAAAAAACTTTGATGAAAAATGTAATATATGATTTGATTCACAAACATTTTGTTAATCAGTTTTGTTAATGAACTTGTACAACAATGAAAAATTCCGTTTAGTGACTACATATTTTTAAGCTTTATAAAAAAATATAATCAATTAATTCTTATTCTTTAAGGTTTTTAAATAATATTAATTTCAAAGTTAACTAGTTGACTAGTATTTAAAAATAGAAATGTAATTTTCTGGTGCCCACAATGAGATTCTAGCATTCCTTTTGCGCTCGAAACAAAAGGTCCAATTAAAATGTTTAAACATCAATCAAAGAGATTCGTTTATACGTATAAAGTGTTAATAAACCCCAGACTGGCTTCCATTTGTATGCACTTTTCTGTGCAACAAGCCATTGTTAATTTGCCAGCTAATTTGGCCGCTCAGACTGGCGACTTCTGTGTTTGATTTGCGGGCCAGCACGAGATCTCCGTCTGGCCGAATGCTAATCGGAATTCAAGCGAATCTCTCTGTGTTCTACTCCCTGCTAAAACCCCCCATACTAAAACTTCCCCACCGGAAAACCCCGCCTGTAAAATTGAATACCCCTTACAGAATTGGAAGCGTGAAGCGCAGTTGCGTTTTAGTTACGTTCCGCTGGGTGCGTGGCCAGAAGCGGCAAAAAAAAGAAGGCAACAACAACCACCCTTCGCTGCCAATAAAAAGTTTCATATATGAAGTTGTAAAATAGGAGAAATACGAACAGATAAAAATAAAAATAAAAACGTAAACGTAAACGAGGCGGCAGCAACCACTGCATAAAATTCCGCAGCTCAACACGCAGCTCGCTTTTGGCTGCTGTTTGCTGCTTTGCTGCAGGTTTTCAGCTGGCCAACTTCTGTGCCGCAATGTCTGCTGGTCTTAATGGCACTGGAAATGGAAATGTTACTGGGGTGGGATGGGCCAGACCAGGCTAGATAGTAACCTGGGAGTGGGACTTGGCCTGGGACCGGACAGGTGGCTGCGGCTGTGACGAGCACGCTCCTCATGGACACTGACCAGCTGAAACAAATCGACCCGATCGACTGGTCGGTCCACCAGCAGTGGCGAGCTGAACCGAAAAAACAACACATTTTCCGGTTCTTGGCCGCGATGAAAGTTCTGGGCGTCAAACAGCATTTTCATTTTTTGTCCAACAGCATCGGGCGATTAGGAAAATGTTGCGGCGAGAAATTGCTAAACATCTAACCAATCACTTTTCGTGTTTCATCTCTAACGCCTAGTTTAAAAATCATTTATTTAATTGATTCTATGCGAAGCAGTTTCTAATTTTGTTTAAATTCAGGAATCTTTCCTAATTTTATCTCTAGTCAACAAAACTTTATAAAATTTTATATCAAATTAATGAATTTGTGAGAGATCATACAGATCTTATAACAATTTTTGTTGAAGTATTCACATTTTTTATAACTTTTTGAAAAAAAGAAACAAAAATGAAATTTTTTGAGTTTTTTTTGTGTTTATATGGCTTTAAAATTTGCAGGTTAAAATTAAGTTTAGACTCAGCTACATTTTTTCTTCGTTCTTGAAAGTGTATTATATAATTTAGAAATGTATTTTCCCTTTTGGAACTTTTAAACCCAAATAATTTTTATTTATTCCCTAAACATGTTCTTAATTACGACACAACACCCATAATAAGTTTTCGACAATTATTGAACAATCATCAGTTTTCAAGTAAAATTTACTTTTTGGCAATTTTCCAGCGACGTGCTCCGCTCAGCTTATCTGTATTTGGCTTAATGACGGCGTCTCGTTCTCGACTCGAATTTCACTTGCCGAGATTTTAATTTATTTTCTTTTTCTGCTGTGGCTGGTGCCGCTTTAGGATTTTCCACTTTTCTGCTGCTGCGGCGACTTTCTGCTCAATGAAATTTTCATTTGCACGAGAGCACAATGAGGGCGAAACACCAGCGAACGGCGAACCAACAACAAACACACACACGGCGACGTTCGAGCGGTTTGTTTAACTGTTTGTTTATCAAGCGGCAGCGGATTGCCCGGAGTTTGGATACAAGGTATGAATCTGAATATGGTAGTTCTGATTTTGGTCAGCGCTTAGCACGCGCAGCCGGTGAGCACCAGGGAAAGACTGAATCGGAGTCGGCCGTCGGAAAAGTATCTGGCGGATACACACCAATGTTTCAAGCTAACAGAACGCTCTCTTTCGCTGTTATTTTTAAGGGGCTGAACGCGTTGATGTTGATGGGTCCGCTGATTTGTGGATTTGTGGGGCTAAAACTAGCAACTGCGGTGCGATTAATGACCAACGACTCAGCACCCAGCAGTTCGAGCTTCAACGATTCCAGGTAGCTCTAAAATAGCTCTGCCATCCGCATCGAATGAGATAAACCCAGACTGCGATCTGTGAATTTACTGCCTTGCCAATCGGCTTTTGCTACACATGTTTACTGCTGTCTCGTAAAGTTCTATTTATAGTGCCCATTCTATGTTCTATTGGGTCCGTATTATTCCACCCAGAAATCGCGAGCTCGCACCTCTATATAAATTTAGGGTATTTCTAAAAGTAATTTAACCAACAAAAAGTCTTGTGATTTCAGTGGGAGTGTGAAAGTAAATATTTTGAATTCTATACATTTTAAGATCGAATTGTTTAGCATTTAACATACTTTCATTAATATATGCAGTGGAATTTTTGGGTTTTATTTGGTTTGTTTGATTGCCTACTTGTATAAATAGATTTAATTTATTATCATCATTTAAAAAAAATAAAATGTTAAGCAGCTCACTACATTCATGATTAATTTGTATGAAAAATATTACGTTTTAAGTTCTAGTCCATCTTTTGAGCTACCATTATTTAAAATGATAAAACTAATTTTAATTAAAATGTTATGAATATAACAACGCAAATATTTTTCTAATCTTTTTGTATACAAATAGAAAGACTAAGCTGTTGAGTTGATTAGAAATAAATGTATAGTATGCATCTATAATCTTTTTAAGCTCGACTTATTTTCATCAAATGCTGTATATACTCTATTTTATTGGAATGTCGTACTTTAAATTGTTGATAAAAGAAAAATGTTGTTTCTTATAACGTTTAAATGATTTTTGTATTCAAGAATACTACACTATTTATTTAATAATAATGTGAAATTTATTTGAAAACAATTTAATAAGTGCATCGACGAAAACATTTTTGAACAAACAAACAACTGATAGACGTTGTTTTAAAATATTTGTAAATTCATTTTAGGCTCTTGAAATGTTTTCCGGCGGCGACAATTGTCACGCTGCTGAGCACAGCGAGCGGTCGAGCTTAGAATAACCGCCAATGCAGCCAACTGCAACTATTTATGGGGGAGGGAGAAGGCGAGAGCGAGAGAGATAGAGAGGGAGAGAGAAGAAAGCGGCTGCAGGCCAAACTGGTCGAAATTTACAGTTGGAGCGGAGAGCCATTGACCATAAACTTGAAAACAGAACAGAACAGAGCAGCAGAAAAGGAGAGCGAAACAATAACAGAGAAGAGGCTGCTAACAGCTAACAGCGGCCTGTTAACAGCAGCCGGTTAACAGTGGCCGAGAGCAAGCTGGGTTTTGGCCACAGTCGGCTGCCAATTATGCTCGACATCGGAGAATGGGACTTAGCGCAATGTGACAGACGTCACTCAAATGGCCAAGAAGCGAGCGAAAAAAGTGAGCACAAAGCGTTTAAGAAAATCAATAAATAAATATTTGAGCAGCCGAGCGGATGTTAAGTCCGACGTCTCAAGTCTTAATTACCTTTCTTTGACTTTTTTTTGACAGCACACATCTCCGCTCGCCACGAAAGTAATAAGATATTTATGTGGCATGGCCTCGCTTCTTGCCACACTCACTTTAAATTATTAAGCCTAACCGCCTTTTGTGTTGCATAAGCGAAGAATAAGAAAGAAAACTTTGGCTGGCAACACTGCGTATGCTTAATTTGCGATCCCTTAAATATTCAATTGGCAAAAGCGACTTTTTGACCCTTGGCATTCGTCCTGGCTGTCGGGCTTTGTTTTTCTGGCCAAAACGTTGAACCCAAGTTCACGAGTTCATCTCGAGGGCCAGCATCTGCCCCCTGGAATTTCATCTGCTCTTAGCCATGTTTATGGCCCCTTGTTGCGCATTTATTGTGTGGTTAAAGCCAGTCTTTGCCACCCCACCCGAAAAAATAAAATACGAAAGCAACAACAACAGCAGAGAAAATTGACACTAGAGGGTTCCTTGACGCCAGCGCCTTTAGCATGAGAAATACGCTTTTATGCTCTCCATTAATTCCATTTTGGCCACCCTGTCTGCTTGTCTACCGAAAATAACAAAAGCCAAAATTGGTTTAATAGTCGCGACGAAGTCTGGTCATTTGAAAGTGTTTTTTCTTCATTTTTCCCTTGCATATAATTAATGATTTGCTGGGTCAGTTCATCAGTCCACGGGCTTTTTCAGGGGCTTGGCTTTACGCATCATTATTTGGCGTTCATTACCTTTTATGTTTTTTTTCCGAGGGGAGGGGAAAAAGTGTTGGCGAAAAGTGTGACTAAAGCCAGTCTAAATGATTAATGAAATAGTTTTGGTTTTTTACAGTTCTATATTTCCCTGATTTATTCGAAGGGCTTCGAATAAACTCAAATATCTACAGATTGGTATTAATAGAAGTGATTTCATTTGCTGGGATTTTCCTAACCAGTTTTGGCTACTATTATGTTCTCTTAAGGAACTTATAATCTTATACACATTTCTCTGTTATGTGGAACGGTTAATCCACTGTCTTTCCAAGGTCTTTTTCAAAGCCCTATTATGCAAAAGAGCTGAACATTTTTCTTACGTTTACTGTCACAAGCTCAATAAAATTATCTATGACTGTTTTAATTAAAGTTACTATGGCCAACAACCTAAGCCATATTTATGTTGAGCTCAAGAGGCAGTTTAAATTCGGCAGGGGCTTAGGCTTCCCCTTGAAAGGGGGATCTTTTAGCTTAGAAACCCCTTTGGCAGAGCACCTGACTCAACCACAGCTCATATATCTTGTCGGTGGGTTTGCTCTTCTACTTTAGTCGGAACAAGATTCATTCATTCAACGTGTTGGTTGTTGGGCTTTTGTATCTAAATGCGAGAATTAAATGGGGAAAAAAGTAACAGCTTTCTGGCGAAAAATCAAAACACGTTTTTCGGCGGCAAGGCCACACAATACAAAGCCCCCGACGACGAACTCCGAGCTCCACCTGGACCATCTGGCCCACCTGACTGACTGATGGAGACTTCGACCCCGTGTCTTGTCAGTCACATCGTCCCCAGTCCAGAATCCAGAATCCCCGATTCCGAACCCCGAATCCCTCATCCTTTCAACGCGGTCTCCCATTTCTTTGTGGTTCGTCTGGCGAAATTTCCATTTCGTTAAATGCGGAGAATTTACGAGCTTTCTGGCTGCACGTGCACATGTCCTTTCTGTCCGAAATACTTTACGAGTCCTTGCAGTCATTTCGTTGGTGGATTTTAGTTGCTGCCTCCCGGGGGTGGCTGGGGATTTTCTGAATTTTTTTCGCTCCTCCGGTCTCCGACGACTTGAATGTTATTGAACCTTGGCGTCTCGACGTCTGTGACATGAGCGAATAAGTTTATCGGATAAGGCGAATAAATTTTAAGCAGCGCAGACTTTTTCGGCCACAAGAACGGCAAAAAGATATACAAATGCAGGGATATATGGGCATACTATATATACAAAACGACTGGGGCATTGTGCACTTGTGTCAATAACCCTTATTAGGGGAAAAGCACAAACTCCCACAAGTCATGCAAGCCATGCAATTTTCTTGGAAATTTGTCGAAGCCAAAGGACGACATTCTGCAAATGCTTTGTGGCAGACAAAAAGTTCGGAATGAAAATGTTGAGGTACGTCGATAATTGCTTTAAACATACTTACTTTCTAGAGCAATTAGAGGGAAGTCCCCCAACGATTTCTGTTTGGTGCTAAAAATAAATGCAAATCACTTTTTAGTTGGATGTAATCACAAGCGAAACACCCTGCAAAACTCCCCCGACTGGCCACGCCCTCTTCGCCCCCATTAAAAGCGCTAACATTGCCAGTGGCAGCACAGAAAAAACCAAATTGAAGATGCAATTTAAGCGATGCTGCTGAATTGACCACCTCTTAGTTTTAAAGCACGAAGGGGTAGATATGGCTTGGATTTAAGGTTTAAACATTAGTTTGGATTATAATCAAGATAGCGTGCAAGAATATTATGATTCACCTGAGGTTATAGCTATAGGTTATAGATTTTAGCTTTGTGTAGTATAAAGCTAATTTTTTTATTAATACTATTTGTATTTTACAATTTCTGCAAAAATATACCCGCTTGTATGTAGTAGTATTTTAACAGTATAAATGAACTTTAAAGATTGTTAAGTTTTTCAAAACAGAACAGAGTTAATTTAATAATTTATTTATTTATAAAGTCATATTACGTCGTGTTCGAAATACACATACTATTTCATAAAAATAATATACGAATTTAATATACATTCCGAAATAAGGAAAATTATATATGATACATTGAAAACGATGAAACTTAATTAAATTTTTACGTTGGAGAATATATTTGCTTCGACAATAAAAAGTGACTTCCATTACGTTTTATTGCATTTAACAAATTCCAGTTTTGTTTCTCAAACAATGCTAACTGTTTAAACTTCTCCTTAGGCTAAAACCTGGGATAAAAACATTAAATAAAGGGTATCCATTCATACAATCCAATGCTGACGATGCACTAGGATTTCTCCAACTCCTTCACATGTACACAAATTCATGCAGAGGGGAAGGGAGGAAGGGGGAGGGGGGAGGGGGAGGCGGTGGCGTCTCCAACACGCAGCTGCCCACTTGGGTGACGTGACTCCGTGAAGTATGCAATGGTTTTTTGTTATGTTGCTACCAGACTTTCGCATTTTGCCCACTTTATGGCTCCAAATGCTGTTTCCCTTTACGACTGCTCTTCCCTCTGAATTCGTACCCCCAAACCCAAACTCCTCCTCTTTCCCCTCCCCCTACAAACTGTGATTGTGTTGTTGTCTTGCAACTGCCCCAAAGGGGTTGCATATACCAGCCTTTTGTGTTTGCTGGGCTTTTGTGCAGCGGCTGCCTGGGTGTTCTAATGGGCGAAAGGGTGCACAGGATGCAGGATGCAGCCGAGTGCTTAACGCTTTATTTTCATTAACATTCCTAAGTTGCCTCTTCAACGGCTTTAAGTTCTGCAACTGAGCGGCGCATGCGTTGAGGGTGCTGTTAAGAAACAGAGTCCTGCGGCAGGACCTGCAATTAGCAACTTCGTTTTCGGGAGATGTAAGGATATGAAGTTGTGACAAAGGGTTCGCCTTCGCCACGATTGTAACATATATATGACATTTGCTTGACAGCTAAATTTACTGCCTTTGTTGGGGGAAGAAAGGGTTATCCTCTCTTCAAAGTTAATTCTACGAGCCTCTGTATTTTCGCAAAGGTGAACAACCACCACATGCTGCCATTACCCGAACCGCTTTTAAATTATTAAAGTATCCATAGACGAAATGAAAGGTAAAAGCTTTATCGATTTTCATTGTTGCACAGAGAAAAGTACATTTTTTCAAAAATTCATTTTCATCAAAATTTAGGTGGGAAGTAAAGGTTTTAGCTATGCTAAATTTGAAAATATATTAAAATATAAATAAAAATATTATTTAAATATATAAATTAAAAATGTTCTTCTTAGTTAGGTTATCCATACATCCATGTCCATACAGGTATCTCCATACATTAAAATAACTCATTTTATGATTCAAATTTGATCATATTGTCAAACTGGAATTTATCTTTAATTTAATAATTTTATATTTATTAAAATTAAATTTATTATACATTTTTTAAAGCTTAAAATTAAGTTTACAGTTTTTTCTCGCAGTGCAAACTATGTTTGCGGTTTAAAAACACAGACACTTCTAAAGAGAATGCTGGGAAAGACGGGTCGACATCCCCGGATGTTATTGTTGCTGTTGCCAATTGACAATATTCGTTACAAGGTCTGCAAGGTTGGGGGTTGGAAAGCCTAACATATGGTGGCCACCAGAGAGGAAAAGCTTTCGGTTTCCAGGGAAAGCAAATGGGGGTGTAAAATGCCCTTTGGAATCCAGTGTTATCGATAGAAACCACCCCATCAGCTGATAAGAAGAGCTTTGGGTTACTAAGAACAAAAAAAGCTTGAAGGAAAAAGTTTCCCAATTTCCTGAACACCTTCCATTGGTTTACATTTCGCCTGCTATCCTGTTTTATCTTTTAAAAATCAAGAAAAATATATAGAAAAAAATCAAATGATTATTTAAGTAGTGGTGGGGCCAATAAAGGTCATAAAGTGATTATTTTAGCGCGCTCAAGTGTAAAATAAAGAAACGTGTGCGGTGGCGAATTTACGCAGCCCGAAGAAAGGCCAAAAATCAATAAGCGTGTAAAATTTGTAAACACGGCAAGCCCTCGACCAGCCTCTTTTGGTTTTCTCTCAGCAAAACCACCTTTTGGCCACTCCCCCAGTGAACTGTGACCGCCAGCTGCCCCAGAAGAAAAGGCAGTAAAACCGCAAAATAAAACCCATTAGCCGCCGAAATGATTACCAACTACGTGCTACCTCTTTTGCTAATGATTTCGGGAGCTGCCGCCACCGCCGAGCAGATGGAGTTCCTCGAGCCACACAATTCTTCGCCAGCGGAGCATCGACTCAGCAAGCGTATGGATCTGGAGGTCTGCATAGGTGAGGGTTACTGAAATAGATAGTATCTGCTAGATACATCTTTATTTATCAATGATAGTACTGCGTTTTAAGAGGTCAAAAGCTTCTTTTATGTTTTTGCTGTAAAATATATAATCTTTAAATGAATGGCAAATTAATGTATAAATAACCATAAAGGAAACTAACTTCAGCGACCCGAAGTTTGTATACCCTTCCAGTCATCACAATTGTCGAGTAAAAGGCATTGAAGCTATACAATATCCCAGCAATATTATAATATATTTAATTCAGTAATCTATTCATATAAAATCAATGAAACAAAATTACTTTTAGAGGCATGCCACTTTAAAGTCTGATTAAAATAAAAAAAGGTGTAAACGTAGAATTAGTGAATTGTGGCCAATTTTCAGCAAACCCATTTTTTTTAATTTGGAAAGGGGTTACATCATAAAAATTTAAAAAAATCGACGACAAAATAAAAAATCAACTAATGATGCGATAGTTAGAGAATTAAAATACAAGCTTTTAGAGGTATGCCACTACAAAACCTGATTAAAACTAGAAAATTTGTAGACTTAGAATTAGTGAATTTTTGACAATTTTCAGGAAACCCAATTCGATTAAAAATGTATTAAAAAGCATCAGTATTCTTATTGAAATTTAAATTATATTTTTCTGTTTTCGACCACCAGGGCACTTTGACGTGCACAAAAACACGATAATCCGAACCGGGGAATCGCAGGCGATTGGAGGAAAGTACCTCCAGGGCCTCGAGCTGGACACCATCGAGGAGTGCGAGAGACTCTGCTGCGAGACGGACGCCTGCGACGTGTACATCTTCGAGAGGAAGGCCGGAGGATATTGCTACCTCTTTGAGTGCGGTCCTCCGGAGGATTTCCGCTGCAAGTTCACGCGGCACGCCAACTACACGAGTGCCGTTCTGAGTCCCCAACAAAGGCAGCCGAGCGAGTTGGCCAGCACTCCTCGACCGCAGCTGCCCCACATTCCCAGCAACAATGTGTCGCAGCAGGAATGGGAGTTGAGCAACTTGAAGCTGAAACCGGAAGCGAGGGACAAGCCCACAGTTGCCACCGCCGCGGTGGTGCCTCCCACTTCTGGAGCACCGGGTGGAGTGGGTGGGCCCCAGTCGGCGGTTTACCCAGCCCAAAGTGGTGAGTTGTCGCTTTGTTTGAAAAACCAAAATTCAAAAAGAGAAAAAAAGATAAACCGTATGTATGTCGATTGCTCCGAAAACAATGTTCATGGTTGAAGTACTTCACATTTTGTATTTTTTTTTAATATTATATTATAAATTTTCAAAGCTTTGCGGTTTTATTAAGAAAAAAATGTTAAACATTCAACAATTTTTCCATATTTTAAAACTTTTTTGTTTTTTTATTTACAATTTTGTTTAGATAGGATTTTTATTTTAGTTATTTATTTTGTTGTGTAAAGTTCCTCTATGCTCTGAATAAATATTTAAAACTCTTAAGAAAGTGAGATTTTTATTAAGGGATGATATGTTTAAAATTTATTTCAATCATTAGAATTTCGATCTAAATTGTAACGAGATTAAAAAAAAATATTATAAAATATCAAAATAATATTTGTTTTATTATAAAATATCAATATCAATATAATATTTTTTTTCTTGTTAAAGATTAATCATTCCATTTTCATCAGTTCATTATTTGTAAGAACCTTGTAAACAAATGAGTACATTAGATCGTATAAAAGATTATTACAAAAACAAACAAAGCTGACCTAGTACTTTTAACTCAGTGTGCAATCGACTAAAGCCATTTACCACTACCTGTTCTTCTATTTAAATGAGAATGTAACACCCAATTTCAGCTCCCGCTGGGCATTGTGGTCGCTTCCAGTTCACCTGTCACTCCGGAGAATGTATAGCGGTGTACAACGCCTGCGATGGAATTCCCCAGTGCGAGGATGGCAGCGACGAGGGACCGGAAGTGAGTTGCCCTATTACCTTTGTGTTGCCCCCCATGAAACCCAGTTAATTACTAACCCGCTTCTCAGTGCATCACCGTATCGTCGACAGCCACAAAATCGAGTAGCAGCAGCAGCAGCAATTTGGAGCCCGTGAAGCCCATGGTGCAGCAATATGTGCCTGTGCAGAACGTGCAGCAACAGTTGCAGGTCGTGGCCCAGCAGCAACAGCAACAGCAGCAACAACAACAGCAGCAGCAGCAGCAACAACGGCAGCAGCAACCCCAACATGTCATTGTTTTGGGTCCACCGCCACCACCTCCGCCGCCACCGCCCATGGTGAACAATCGGGAAGATGCCGCCGCCTGGGCAAACCGCAAGATGATCGCCGAGGGACAGCAGCAACAACAACTGCAACAGCCGCCGCAGCAGCAGCAGCAGCAACAGCAACAATTGCCACAGCAGCAATCGCCTCAACAAAAAGCAGACATCATAAACACTGGTAAGTATAGGAAATAGGAAAATACAATTAGGTAAAAAGTCAATTAAAGTTGAGGTGGGAAGAAACCAGAAAAGGAAAAGACTCAAAACCTATTTATTATAAGGACTTATTTGTTATATACTCGAAATGCAATATTTTTTTTAACGATAATTTCTATTTAAGCAACAAACGATTTCTTATAACAAAAACCAAGGAAATCATGGCATTTGGTACTTAATTTACTGAATTAGAACTTTACGTTGTTTGCAAGACAAGATTATTTTAAATAATACAATATATTTTTTGTAAATCAGAGCAACTCACGACTTTCCGACTGAAATTTAAAGCAAGTGACTTCCGCTTTAGCACTCCTCCTGTTGCTTTAAGTTCTTAATTAAAGTCGATTGGGTGTCCAGCACCAATTAGGCGGAGTCAGTGAGACAAGTCAGACAAAACTAAAAACTGAGTAAATATTTATGAGGGAAAGGGAGAAGAATGGTAACCGGAGGGTCTGGCGCCCAGTGCGACATTAGCACACAAATTGCTGGCAAAGCGCACGCAATGATCTCTTTCCCTTTTCCCCAGGGCTTTTCTTCTGGGAAAATCGCAAATTGCCCATCAGTTTTCATTGTGTGAAATGGGAGCCGCCGTCGCTCGAAATTGATTTACGGGTGTTTTGTATGTCAGCCTTTGTCTACTCGTAATTAACTCAATTAGCAGTGCGTTTAAGTGAGAGACACACTTCGTACTTCCTTGTGACGCTTCCACTTTCTTGCAGATGAGCAGAGCCGCATCTTCAGCCACAAAGGCGGTCTCCAGTTGCAGCAGCCGGCGAACGGGCAGGGGAATCTCCAGGTTCAGGGGCAGATGATGCAGGGAGCATCAACAGTTCAGGTTCAGGGCCAATCAACACCCATCCAATTGCCTGGCTACGATGCCAATCAAGCCATGTACGGCATGTCGCTGCCTCGTTCCGGAATTTATCTCCCACAGCAGCAACATCCGCCGCAGCAGCAACTCCAGGCATCCGCTGGCCAGCAGCAGGTGCAATCCAATGGGGCGTGGAACGCACAGAGTCCTTTGGTTCCTCAGCAACAGTCGCCGGTGCAGCAGCAACCTTCGCTGACTCCGCAGCAATCTGGTCATGCCTACGCAGCTCCTCCAGCCATCCAATCTCCGCCAGCTCACCAGCAGGCCATGCTGCCCGTCCTGAATGCCGCTCCATCGCCTGGAAAGAATCAAGTTCCATCCGTGGATGGAGACTACGAGGATTACGATGAGGAGACCTACACGGAGGCTCCCAAAAAGGTGGGATAAATGATAAACCATTACATAAAACTTTATCAAATTTTACATTCTGAATATTTTTTTGTTAATTTAAGAAGAATAAATTTACAACCACATAATGACTTAATCTTTCTTCAAATTTGTGAGAATTTTGTAACACATCTTTCTAATCTTTTTTTATAAATCCACAGAAGCAGCACAAGCACAAGAAAGTGAAGGCAAAGACGGCCAAGGATCCCATTGAACTGGCTCTGGAGCAAAACAAGCAGCAGCACCAGCAGCAGCAGGATGGAGGATCAGTGCCGGCTCTACCTGTTCCAGTTTCCCCGGTGCACGAGCAGTACAAGATGATCCGGGAGAACCTGGTAATGGAGTTCAGGGACCACGACGGTCACTCGGAGCGACCCGGAGGAGCTGTCCTGTCGCTGACCCTTGGTCTGCTGGTCACCGCTGCTTTGGCTATTCTCATCGGGTGCAGGATGCGGACGGTGAGCCGGAGGGCACGACGACTGGGCGGCAAGACGCCCTACTCCCAGGAGGCCGACTTCCTGGTCAACGGCATGTATCTCTAAGCAGATGCCTACGGATTGGAAGGGGGCTTGCCAAGATTCTTTGTGTTGTTCCACGTGCGGGAGGGCGTGTATATGATTATGATTATTAGTGTAATGAGAAACATATTTTATATAAACAAAGATATATCGAATAAAATTAAAACTTAAAGTATAAACCATGATTGTTTTTATGTTGAGAAACCCGAATCGATTAACAAACCTTGTTGATAAATTTGTAATATTTTTTATTTAAGTTCTTTTCCATCCTTGATTTCAGTTTTTGTTTTGGTTACGAAAAAACTTACAATTAGTTTTATGAAATCTTTTTATCATTTTTTTTCATTGATGTGACACTGACTGTTGTTCAGTCATTAAAACTACAAAATAGTAGGAAGTTGGTTTTCTTTATATTTTCGCTTCATTTTGTTCCATTATATATCAGCTTTATTCTCATAATTGCATTTGTTTAAAATAACAAATTTTGCTGTTGTGGAGCTTTTTAACTTTCAGGTCTAAACTCAATCGATCAATAATTACAGAAAAGTATTTGGCCAAAAAACAAATTTCGAACGCTTAAAAATATCACATTAAAAATTAAACCGAATCCGATTTTACATATAAATAACACAAATTTATTTAGTTTCGTTTTGGAATTTGGAATAGGTTGTCTTAAGTTTTTGTATACATAGATTTATTTCGTTTACCACTCCACATAATTAGTCTTTTGTTGATGAGAATTTTCTTGCTGTGGCCAGTTTTTGAATGAAAATCATCATTTACGAAGTTCGCTGCCCTGACATTGGTTGCATTCATATATTACGCATTAAAATAGGCTTTCTCGTTACTCGTTTAGCTCCGTTTTCACTTAACACTGTACACATATAATGTAAACTAATTGTATTTATATTTATTTATGCAGTTGAATAGTTTATAATTTATAATGTCAATGTGCAATTTATGATGCAATTTTTTATTTTATTGAATGTGTTCTTCTCGTTTGACTCGATTCAATGTTTTCGGTTGCTAAGCGATCTAAAAACAAAACTCTTCCGAAAAGTACAACTCAAGAAATTTCCAAATGTTTTTACAACTTCTGTATTAACTCGACATAAATATAGGCTCAATTGGATCGACTGGCTGTTGGCGGCTGCTCTTCATTTTACGTGTACATTGTATGGTAGTTATTACTGTTTAATTTATTAGTTATCGTATTTTAATATATATTTATAAAATAGACTTTCTCCTTAGCAAGATGCGAATTTTCGTTTCTGTTGTTGCAGTTTTCGGCTTGTGGTATATTTACGATGCCAGAACTTACGCATCATGTTGCGTACCTAAACAAATGATAAGCGTAATTAGAGATTTGCTTTGTTTGCTGAATAGACACATACCTTTTTGTCCAGAGACGCGCAATTCGATCATGTTCCTCGCGATTCTGCAAATATTGCGTGGCAATGCTGCCCACCAGCGGATCAGCTGAAAGTGTATACAAAATTTGTTTTAATTCGAACTTGTTTATGTAAAATAAAACTTGAGCCATAATTATCCGAAAACAAACTCAAATATTTCCAGAAAATCACAGACTAACTTTGAATTGTCAGGAATAAAACCAACATTTTGAAACAGAAATTGGATAATCCAAACATGAGAAATTGGGGAATTTAAGCATTCGCATATATACACAATAAAACAATTTGAATAATCAAAGAGCGATTCCTTGGATCAGTTAACCACTGTAAATTATCTACAGAGCAATAAGGTTAGATAAACAAATTCTAGCTGGGATATAACAATACCAATCTGCATTCCCTTCAGACCAAACGAACTCTGCTTAGCAAATCTTACCTGGATTACAGTCTGTGAGCAGGGAGCAAATTGACAGCAAGACCTTTGATATGGTCAGCGCCGGCGACCAGTTGTCCTTGAGTATGTCCAGGCAGATGACGCCCTGGCTGTTGATGTTGCAGTGGTAGATGCGAGTGCGGAACGTGACTTTGGGCGGCTTGAAGGGATACTCCGGCGAGAAGTGTATGTCGAGGAAGAAGACGCCGCCCTCGTAGACGGACCCAGGTGGTCCCAGGATGGTAGACACCCACTCGTACAGGTTGTCACCCTTCGGACCGGCACTGCAGTTGGGCGGCGGGTCCAGTGTGATCTCGGCCAGCTCCTTCTGGATGCGTTTGGCCGAGGTGCCCAGGGCCTTGGATATCCTGGGCGTGGGTTTGGCATCCTTGCGCGGCTCATCGCCACCCGACGCGTTGCTGCCGGAGGCTCCTCCGTTGGCATTGCTGCCTCTGCCACGTGCCTGCGGCGTTCCGGCGGACGAGGTCTGGCTGGTATTGCTCACGTTGCTGGACGTCGTGCTGGGCGCACTGGGTGCGTTTGAGGTGGCGCTGGAGGTGGCCACCTCGGTGGCACTGCCCGCTGCTGGGGTTGAAGACATGACTGGTCAGGGCCGATCGAGCTGTAAGAAGTGCAAAGGTGAGAGGTTACAGTTTGGTAAGATACATGTTTTTAAAAAAGGCATTTCTAAAAATTATCCACTAAATTTCTAGACAACCGGCAAATGTGGCCAAACTGCAAAATTCTTAAGATTTCTTGGAATACGTGGTGAATTTGCTTAAAATGTTTTCAGCGTACTTTTATATCGAAATACAGTCGACTCTCGTTAATTCGAAACTCGAGGGACTCTTGAAATATTTCGAATTATCGAGTGTTTGAAATATCAAATGGTTCGAAATTTGTTCTAGGGCTCATAGCTAACACTAACTTTTAATATGCATACCAACGAAAGAGTAGCAATAACTGAATAAGCACACAAACTAATTCGTAAGAAGTGTCTGCATCAAAAACTACATAATCAAAACAAAAACAAAGGCAAGTTTGAACTTGTCGCAAAATTTTTTCTCTGCAACTTTGAATTGTCGAGTGTTAGACGCTGATGAGTTCGAATTAACGCGTGGTTTTGTTAAATATCAATGATTTTTCGTTCGAATTACCAAGTGTATGAAAATGTATTGATTTAGTTCGAAATATAAAGAGATTTCGTAGGGACCTCGTGATAACTTTGAATTATAGAGAGGTTCGAATTATCGCAGGTTTGAATTAACGAGAGTCGACTGTATATGGTTCGTAATTCATTTCTACAATACCTACAGATCTTAACAATAAGCATTAAACATTTTATTAATATACTTCTGAATATATGTACATGCGAATATACATATGAAAATAGGCACCTCAGTGCACGAGTTGAAAAATCAGGTCAAGGACCCTGGGAAACCCCTAGATTGTATGCTTGATAAATGCGGATCTTGACCAAGGTCCTTGACCTGTTTTTGTGAAAGGTATGCCTCGTTTTAAGAAGAAGCTGAGTTTTAAGTGACATCCCCGAATATGGACTATAGTTCTAAAAGTTTATTAAGTCGTCACGAAAGGCCGTTCAAAAGGACATGCACATTTAAATTTGAGCCAGTGGTATCCGGCTTTTACACGCGGATCTTGGCCAGGGTTTGCACCAGGGTCCTTGACCTGGATTTCCACCCATTTTTTCCCTTGCTTGTTCGCTACGGTAGGGGTTTGCTTTTTTCTTTTTTCGCACAAACGCACACATTTCTATTGAGCAGCGACAGCGGCCATTTTGGCAAACACCTTGGTTGGCTGAAAGGTGGGATTTTAAGGGGGCAAGGGTCTCGAATCGAGATATTATCCCTGCCAAGGATCAGGTGATATATTCAATATAGCAAGCAGAAATGACGTGCAGCCGCACGTTGTGCATGCCGCAAAAAATCAATCAGCAGACATTTGCAAAACGCGCTGTCGCCGCCGCCGTCGACTTTCGATGATGCCGCTGCTTCCGCCGCCTGCAGTCCGATTGCACAATTACGCGGAAATTAATGGCCGATAATGCGGTGGGCCTGGCTCGTATACTGCTACACTATACACACCTCACTATCGCAGTTTCTTTCACTTTTTTTTGTCAATCACAACACTTGCGAAAATGATTCGCTCGCTCCGCAAGTCGCCTGCAGCCCTCTCGCTCGCACTCGGTGCGCAAACGGCCTTCGCAGTGGATGCAAGGCTTTCCGCTGGCGTCCTCGGTGGGTGGCAGTGTGGGCGGAGTTCGAGTCCTGCAGTTTTCACCTTTATGGCCTATAGTATTTGGCTAAAATTACAGCTGCCGAAAACAGGGAGACGCAGAGCAGTCTTTATCTTTGTTAGAAACTCGATAATTTGTATGTTTGTAGGCAGGCTATCGTCCCGGGTCCGCCTCTAGCTGCTGATGGGATTGTTTAGCCGTGGGAAACTATCGATTGCCCTTTGCTGCAGTGTGGCAACTCGAATGTCAATGGTTTTAAAAATATTTAAAATAAATTTATTTCACACTTACAAGTTATAATAACACAATAATTATATTTTCCGAAAATTTTGTTTTATAGCTTGGTTGGAATTCAGTTCATAATTATTGATGTCACTTCTGATTATTGATCAGAATAATCAACACTTGTGACATTTTTACCAGTTTTAAACTTTGTTTTTTTTTTTTTTTTTTTTTAAAGATTACGAATCAGAACACGATATAATTTCATTTAATATTTACTTTAATCTTATCTTGTATTTGTAAAAGTTCAAACATTTAAGGTTTATTTCGTCTCCATATCTTCTGTTACCGCCTTTCGCGATTTGAAAACGCGCACCGAGTTATCTTCTCCGCCGGAAATAATGTACTTGGGATTGGACCAGTCGATGTCGAGGACCTTGTCACCGTGACCCAAAAGATCGTACAGTGGGGCCTTGGGGCTTCTGCAGTCCCACAACTTGTTCTGGTTGTCATAGGCGCCAGAGACGAATAGGAACTCTTCCGTGGTGGACCACATGACGCTCTGCACCCAGGCATTGTGTCCCAAATAGGTATTTCGCACCACAGAACCCTCTGAAAAAACAGAATAATATTAAGACATAATATTAAAACATTTTATGGCAAGATCGTACGGTTTGTCCTAGCATCGTAAAGCCTCAGATTCTTGTCCGCCGAGGCCGTCAGTATCAGGCGGTTCAGCTTTGAGTAGCTGGCATCGAAGATGGACTTGTTGGTGGATATTTCGGTCTTGATGCCCTCAAGGCTCAGATCCCAGACCTTGAGCGTGTGATCCCAGCTGCCGGTGAGCAGTGTGCTGGCATCCATCCACTGAACGGCAGAAATGCTCTCCCTATGGCCCTGCAGCGTCATTTTCGGGGTCTGTAAAGAGGCGACACGTTAAATATGGTTCTTTTTCATGTGAGTTATTACGAACCCTCACGCCGCTCTCCTTCATTCTTTTTGAGGTGCCCTCAGCCGCATCGTCCACCTCCGCAGACCAGATCTTCAGCATAGTGTCCCAGGAACCGGTGGCGAAACGCTGACCATCTGGACTCACGCTTACGCTATCGACGCCTCGTTCGTGACCTTTGCAAACGGATACGCACTCCACCGAATTGGCGGCTACGCTCCACTGCCACAGCATGGCAGTCTGATCCTGCGACGTAGACACAAAGCGACCAGTCTCCTCGTCTAACGATATCCAGTCAACCGCTTTAATGGGCGCCGTATGGCCGGGAATGGTGAGGATATGTTTGCCCTTGTTGGTCCACAGGTTGAGGGTGTTATCGTAGCAACCGCTGAGAATCCACTTTCCATTGGCCTTCACTGCAGACACCCAGTCGTCATGGAGCAGGCAATCCTGGGGTTCCGGCGCCGGAAATCGCTCCACATACTCGATTTCGATGGCGTCTTCGAAACTGATGGCCTTCTCGCGAAGATGATCACACAGCCTGCCTCGAAGGTACTCATCAAAGACCAGGAAATCAAAGTCAGTGTCTGAGGAGCCGTCTTGCTGGCGGAGCAAAGCATTTAAAAACGTATTTAACTCCGTGGTGGTGACGGTTCCATCGATTGCATATGGTACATCTGGCACGGCATAGCTAAAAAGGAGAGTCTTGAATTAAACAAAAATTTTATTAAGATTCGGGATGGAGACTTACTGCTCCTGCTTGGTTTTAAGGTGAACCTGCACCTGTCCCTCGCCGTTTACCGCATCCATCTCCTGGTCCACGTGCGTTTTTTCTAGGCACTTGTTTTTTTTAAAGTTCGGGGTTTTCCTTCGGGCTTAATACTTTCAATGACTTAACTCCGGACGGTTGGAGGAACAATAAGCCACACGACTAGTGGTTATTCCTGTCAGAATTTTTTATATTCTGTTAAAAAGAATAAAAGCGTGATTTCAAACGAATGATGGTAAACGCAACAAAAACAACGTAAAGCCCTAAAAATCCCCAAAGCGCATAGTTGTTATCGCACTCTTATCGTTAGGTGTCTATCGAAATGTAATCGCACTGAAATGATTAGGCGGGGCTTTTTAAATTTTATTTTGAAATTTAGCTTTTTTATTTAGTCTTATATGCTCTTATAGTTATTGTCTACAAATTCATTAATTAAATTAATAATTCAAATGTTACTTTTATTTTAAACATTTTATTTGTTATTTACAAAGTAACAATATAATTTGCATGGGTTCTAAGTTTAAATAATACGTTGCCAATGACTTATCTTCTTACGTTTTTATTACAACAAAAAGTATTTTACAATAATACGAGTAAAATTCGCAATACAGATAATTAAATATTTTTGCAAGCGAATCGGTCGCTGATGATTTGCTGCAATTTGGCCTCTCGCTCTTGCTTTTGATCGTCTTACGCAAAACGGAAAAATAAAAAACGACCAGCCGTGGCAGCAATTTGTAAATGACTCTTCACTCTTCAAAGACTGGTAATTGTTAATTTTAACGTACAGGCTATTAATATGAACCAGATAGCACCTGAAAGACCACTTTGCGCCGGAGTGTTCACTGGAAGGTTAAATGCCACTTGACATTTCTGAAGTGGCGCTTAACCTTCGCATCAAAATTGGACAAATGCCCAAGAAAAAAATTTTATTTCCAATAAAAAAAAATCATTTACCATAATGGGTCGATGATGGGATATTAAGCTGGAAGTAATAACAATTTTTTTGGTAATACTTTTTACTGCAAAACTTTTGCCGTTACTGGGGCTTCACGAAAACCAGAAACGAAGCGAAATGAAAGAGCTGAAGCTTTCCAGATTTTCGGGGGTTCGGGGCTTCCAGCCGCTCGGCGATCAGCTTATAAAACGAGCTCTGCGCCTGCGCAGCCGAAACATTACAACAAACGACGCGCGCAAGGTAAGACACTGGCCAAAATCGATTTATCTGCACCTCGGGAGCGTTTTCGAATAATAAAATACGGGAATCTCTTGCAGTCTACATCCCAAAAAAAAAATAATCCACCACAAAATGAAAGTTTTCGCGCTGTGTTCGATGCTCGCCCTTCTGCTGGCCGGAGCCCAATCCCTGCCCCAAAATCGCGAGGGAGCCGCCTACACAAACGAGGCGATCCGACAGGCCCAGCAAACCCTGCTCATTCCCAAGGATGCCCAGATCCAGAACGTCCAGGAGGGCATCGAGCTGGGCGCCTACGAGCAGATCCCCGGCAACCAGCGCATCAATCTGTTCGAGATCCTGGGCGACCAGGTGCCCTCCGAGGTGATAAACAACCTGCAGTCCCAGGTCGACCAGATCGGTCGCAACTAAGTCGTAGGAGCACATCCCCTGTTTAGTTCATTGCATTTCGCCCTCATTGTTAAGTTTCTCAGTAATAAAAGAAGACATTACCCATATTTAATCGAAGCATTTCTGTTTATTTTTGATTGCTTTTTTTTTGGGTATAAGAAACCCAGAAAGCGAAAGTGATCCTCCCCGAAAAAAAAAAAAACCTGTTGGTTCCTCTGCAAACTCTCGATCGAACAGAGTGATTTATTAGAGTTTTTGTGGCTTTTTTCCTAATGCTCATCGGAGACTTTCTCCTCGCTGATCCCGCTGCGCATACGAATTAACAATAAAAGTCGGCGCATTAATGCCCAGGTATCCTATCCTCAACCTTGTTATGTAAGTCGGGGGATTGTGCATTACGGTTCAATACGGTGGAGTCGGTAACCCGAGTGCTGCCCCGCCGGCAACTTTTGTCTTGAGTTGCCGTCGTGATGCAACAGTTGTCGTCGTGATTGTTTCCTCAGCCGTCGCTCTGCTGGGCTTCGGTTTGTTTATTTAATTTCTGGTAATTGCCGCCACATGCACTTGCATGTGTAATGAGGCAGCCGAAAGGAGGGCGTGGCACGCCCGCAGGGAAGGTGCTGGTTGCGCAACATCTGGGTAGGACCGACGATCGAAGGGTTACGAGGCCTAATTACTTTAGTTTATAAATATACATTTATTTATTCCTAACATTTGAAGTTCAATTTTAATCGAGGAATAATTATTTCCATGGGAAGTCTTTCATAAGGATAAGCAGCCAAGTTTTTAACTAAGAATACAACAATATTTAAAATAATTAAAATTCTTTTCTTAGAAAATAATATTGGCCTATGCTTTTAAATCATATGAAATATGTTGTTTGATTTTCTTTTTATTTCTGAAAATAATTTTTTACTATTAATGGTAAATAAATTATTTTAAATATTTATTTTTCATTTTAGAACTTTGTATTTACCTTTACCAATAAAAATACTTACTCAGGTTTTTAAACGAACTATATTTTCCATTCCAAAATAATAGTTTTTCAAAAGACTTAATTTGTGTTTTAGAATTACCTCATTTTTATTCATAGTTCATACATTTTAAAATGAGCTTCAATCTAAATTTACGCTAGTTAAAGTAGATTCATAATATAGTTTACTTTATCTCAAAAAATCTGTGTGGTTGTGTGTGTATGTGTGAGTGATAGTGTGCTCGATCATCGCCTAAATAAATTATGTTCATATAGGTAATTGTTTATTTTATGGACTAACTAAAGAATGACTGCGTTTTTATTTTGACACTTTTCTCCTCTCGTTAGTTTTCAAATTCTGACGAACTTAAGAATTCCTTCTTGGGATTCCTTGTTCCCCTCTTCAATTATCTTCGACTCAATGTCAAGTTTAAATTAGTTTAATTGTATATAAATTATGGTTAAAGTAGGAGTAATTGTAAATTGCTTTAAATTAAAACTTTGCCATATTCAGTCTAAACTTAAAAGCTTTTCAAATTAAAGAGGACTATATAGTTTGCCATTGCATTTTAAAATAAACCACCGCTGAAGCTATCGGCCTACTTTTCCAATTCATTTCCATTCGTTATGAAATAAATTACACATTAAATAAAATCATGATGAGATAAAACAAGTTAAAAATTTTCCGTTCGTAAATGTTGCGACTTATTCGATGAATTTCGATTGTGGGCGTGGCAGAATGTTTGGATGTCTAATGTGCACTTAGGACAAATACGTATAAATAAGAAATACAACTAAGCAATGTGGATTGCCTTTGATTAATGAAACATTTTGTTATTGCATTTGGGGAGCCCAGCTTTGCTAATCATAGGTTAATGATTATGTCCGTAAGGTTTATAAATTCAGAAGGTCGTCTATGCAGTCTGTGGAAATGATAAATCCTCAAATAGATCCTCCTCTCCCCTGTTTTTCCTTTCGTTCTACTTAAACCTACAACTTTGCTCACTTGAATGGTTGGATTTTCGTTACGGTGTATGTATATACAATAAAAAGGTTTGATCTTTCAAGTAAGCCGATTCCAGTGAACCGACTTTAGTAGATCTTCTGAAGATATAGGCGTCCCAATGGCAGGGCTCTCTCCACAAAACTCTTTTCGGCCCTCGCAGAGGATTTGTCCACTGAACTGGTTTTGGCCTCCGTTTCCTGGCTTTCATCTAGTTTAAGGCTCTCTGCATCCGCCTTGGGATCCACACCACCCACATTACCCACTTGACCCGATCCTGAACCCAATTCATCGATGTCCAGGGTGGAAAGTGGGCTGGTTTTCGGGGTAATGGGTTCCCTCACCTCACCACTGCCCAATTCCATTTCCTCGACGCCTTCGTTCCTACTGATCTTCTCCAGCTGCAGATCGCTTCCATTTTGGATGCGGGTCTCCCCGGAAATATCTTCACCACTGTACATCAGCAGTGGCACCAGAGAGTTCCTTTCCTCAATCGAAGAAGCTGCAGCTAGCATTCCCTCGGTGGTGGAGGATTTCTCCTGGTAGAGTTCTATGTCGCCACCGCCACTTCCACTTCCACTGCTATCGAGATTCGGATCGGGAGTTAGTTTCACGTGCCTGTGGCTCAGCTCAAAGGGACTGGGAATGCTTCTCGGTTCGTCCTTTTCAACTTCAGCAACATCATCCAGTTCCACGAGGGGAAAGTTCACATCCCTCAAGCTGAAATCGTCTTCGGGAAGCGAAGGATAGGCAGGATTGGACTCCACCTGGGGCACATCGTCCTCCACTTCCATGTGGTGAGTGGAACTCAAGGGCGGCATTTCACTGCTCACTGAATTGGGACCATCTGTGGTGATATCCATTCCCGATTTGGTGGTGTTATTACTCGAAGGTTGACTAATGGTTGAGGTTTCCACAACTTTTGGTGGTGCATCTGTGGTAATTTTCTGTTTACTGCCAGGTCCTTCGGTGGTGGATATAATGTGGTAGATGTTATCACTGCCCGCTGTATCAGGTTCGAGTTCTCCATCGGTTGGCTCCACCAGAGAGTCCTTAAAACCGTTCTGTATGAACAGAGGGAAGGACTCCTCGTAGTTCTTGGTGCTCTGGAAGGCTCCCTCTGTGGTGTACTCCCTCTTGATGTTCACCTTACTGGGATCACTTCCAGCCAGCGATTGCAAACCGTCAGATGTGTAGGTGACCAGTGGCTTCACCTGTTGCTCCACAATGTTGCTGCTGCTGGGGGAAAGTGGCTTTTCAATATAGCCAACAGATGCGATGAGCTTTAAGCTCTCGTTGCCGACTGGAAGTGCTTTCTGGTTGCTGTCTTGGCTGGAAATCGTTGGTGTTGCCGCCGTTTCCGTTGGTGTTGCTGCTGTCACAGGAGATGTTGCTGCTGCAGGCGTGCTGCTGATGGCTGGTGTTGCTGTTGTTATGGCTGCTCCTGTGGATCCTGCTGCTCCAGGTGATACCTGTGATCCTGCAGTGGTGCTTTCCAGCGAAGAAACTCCAGTGGTTGCCGGTCCCTCGGTGGTTGGATTCAAACTACTCGGCTTCCTCGTGGGAATCGATGGCTTGGCCTTGTTGTCATCGGTTATTCGGATCTCCGTGGGCTTGGTTATCTCCTTGATGGTGATGTTCCAGTTGAACCCAGCGGGTGGAGCCAAGGCAACTGGCTTTTGGGTGGAGGTGGTGGAAGTGCTCACGGGTTCGCTGGCCAGCGGAGGATTGTTGTCCAGAACTGGAAATTGCAAGAGTTTTCGGATTAGTGACTCGAATCACACCTGGTGGAGTAGCACCACTTACTGGGACAATTGTCGTACTCCGGACAACAGCGACCGGGAACGTATTTGGGCATGCAGTCGTCTCGGTGGAAACAGGTCACCGGGCTGCAAACAATCTCGCCGCCTGCAACAAATTGAGTGTGTTTTAGCAAGAGTGTTCGGCCAACAGGCGCAAATTCAAAAGGAATACTTCCGAAACAGGTGAATTTCTACACTGCAGCAAACTTTTGGTATTCAAAAACCAAAAAAAATTTATTTGGACTGAGATCAACAATGAAATAAAATTTATAAAAATCGAAAACTTGGTAAAATTGAAATTAAAATTATGTAAAAATATTTAGTGTTAGATATAAGCATTCATTTATTACGTAACTTTTAATGTAAAATAATACCCAAAAGATTTTTTTATTTTAATTTTTCAAGCAACTAAATTTTTTATGCATAAACAGTTTGATAGTTAAAATCTTCCTTCATCTAAATATTTTTTTAAAATACTTTTCCTCAATACAACAGATTGTAAAATTCTGGCTTCTTTTCATTGATGTTTTCATTTACTTTATGCAAGTATTCCTATTTTTATTAAAAAATGCTCGCAATTCAATTTCCTTTGCCCAGCCAAACCCAACGTTCTCTTTCGGTTTCCCTTGCTATTTGTGTTAACAATTTCAACAAGAATTTAAACAATAACCAATCCACTTTTTCGGGTTTAAAGAAAGGACTTATGAATCTCCTCAAAATAGTGTATGCTATTTTCCACGCTTAGTTCCATCTTTGATAAAACTTTCTCAAGGCCACATTTCCCCCTTATAGAAACCCCCCTAGTTTGACTAATTTTCCAACCTGTGCACCCACTCACCTTTGCAGTAGCACACGGTGCACGGCGTGTCCGGATCAACCAATTTATAACCATTGGCATAAGTTTTGCCGTCCTTTTCGCAATCTGCGGATGGAGGGGAGAAGCGGGGGATAGATTTGCATAAATGCATCCGAAAGAAGGAGGGCGGCCCGAGTGTCCTGTTCACTTACCGCATTTATAATCGGGGCAGCAGTGGCCGGTTCGCTGGATGGCACGGCAACTGGTCTGATATTCGCAATGGGCCGCGGTTTCGGCCACCCACATTCCGTCCAGCAGGCATTGGCCTATAAACAATTTGAAGAGGTGGCGGCGCATTGTTTGCCATTTAGTTTGTGAGCACACTCAGTGGGTGGGGATTAGTTTTCGGGACTGGAAACTGGGAGGGGGGGAACTCACCCTGGGGCTGCTGCTGTTCCGGCGGAGCTGGGGATTCCGTGGTGCTGGCCGCCAGTCCGTAGAATCCGGCACTTCCGCCGCTCGAACTCGGACTCGAACTGCTCGCCGTGATGCTCGGCGTAACCGCGACCGTGACGACTGTGGAGGATGCCACGCTGCTGCTCTCCACGGCAGGAACTGCAAAGGCGAGCAAAAAACATCGGTGTGAAATAGGAGGAAGTGGAAAGTCAACAAAGGCCATTGCGAGGAATGCTGCACTGGTCGAAAACAAAGTGTCTTAATTTACGACGCTGCCTTCGTTTAAATCCACGCAGATTAAGTTGGAATCAATTCCTTTTCCCACTTTCCTTTTTTCTCAGCGAAAACTAGCAAACACCCCAGTTTTTAGGTGTTAGGAAAAAGGGGTTCTCAACGTTATGATTTATTATCACTTAAGTTCAACAAATATTTTAGGTAATAATCACCTTTCACGTAACCTTTATTATTTTGCCTAATGGATGTAAATATAAGCAAAACGAAAAAGGGGCATAAATACGTTTCTAAATAGCTAATTATTTTTCAGACGTGTTACTTAGGTGGTTTTTAAACTTTGTTGTCAACAAAATAATAATCATAACCAACTCTTTTAAGATATTATCTGAGTCAAAAAAACTAAAGCGTCATTTTTGGCATACGTTTAATTTTATTACTTTAAAAGGCAAGCTGAAAGGCAATTTAGGATACATTTAAAGTAACTAATATATAATATTAGTTATCATAAAGGTAAATGAGTTTTCAAAGCAACGTAGAATACTTGTTGACATCATTCACTGGGATTCTTGAGAAATTATAAATAATAAGGGGAAAATTCTCTGAGTTTGTTAACAAACGGAAATTCTTTTCCCACTTGTGTTTATAAGACTTCTTTGTAATTAAGTTTTCACTTATTTTTTTATTCTTTGTAATTGGTTCTTTTAAGGATATGTTTTCTCAAAAATGTGCTTCTAGGCTAAGTGGCTTTTGCAGGCTATCCGAATCTTCCATTAATGAAATGAAAATGCTAATTGCCTTTATGCTTTAATTTACAAATGTAATTGGATTATGTTCGTTCTTTTTTTTTTTGGATTTTCGTAAAGTGTATGCAGAAGCAAGAGGACAATGATGAAGGTGGGGGAATGGGAGGGGAAGGGGGAGGGGTGTAGGAGCACTGGCAGATGCCCTTTGCCCCCTTGTCACTGGGTACATATTTGAATGAATGACATTTTGATAACAGTTGTTTGTTGTTCCTGTTGCTGCTGCTTTTGCCTCTCAGCTTCAGTTTCTGGTGCTGCTGCTTCTGCTTCTGGGCAAGGTAAAATGCTATCAAAATACGGCAAAGTTAAATGAGTTTAGTTTTAGTTTGGCTTTTTTGTTTGCCCAGTTTGAGGCGACTCCCAATTGGGAAACCGAACCGAAAGCGAAGAGCAGCACAAGATGGAGTGGCAGCCGCTTTGTCTACGCTCGTTGATTGTCCAGTTGGCGTATAATTCCGATTGACAAGCCTTGTGCAAAAGAACATTTTCCACATTTTCCATTTGCCCCTGAAATTGTCTCTCTTAAAGGTTTTTCGCTGGACACGAAATCTTTTGAGCTGGGGTTCTTGTCATTTCGCATGAAAAATGATTAAAGATGTGCGAGCATTAATCATCCGCCCAGTGGTTCAGTTTTATTGTGCCACTGCTGGCCATCCTTTATTTGGAGTCCCCTTCATAAACGGCATCCTATCTTCGTACATCCCACGCCAAATTGTTTTCCTAGCACTCATTAAGCAAACTGCATATGCTGCTCACTTTTCCTTTTTTTCTGCTAACAAAAAATGGGGATTCTGTTTAGATTTATTTTGCTGGTAAGGTTGGGGGAAAGTCTCTCTAAAGTTGATTAAATCTAAACATGCTTTATAGTTTTGGGGGAAATAGATTATATTTTCTGAGTCCAACAAACTTTAAAAAGTTTATCAAATTTGATAAATTGTTTTGTGTGTGTTTAATTGTGTTTATGGCAACTTTACTGATATTTATTTAATATTTAATTAAAAATTTATTTAAATGTATGAAAAGCCTTTTTAGGCTCTAGTTGATAAAAAAATTTACCTTATTTTCAATTTAAAAGATACTAAAATTCTGAGTAAATTACACTGTGCGACAAAAAAATGTTTAAGTTGATTTTTTCTTATTTTTCACTTCTACTAGTCAAAATAAGAATATAAGTTTTTGGATTTGTTAATATCAATAGCCAATCAGCTTCTACGCACACTCAAATGTCCCAAAAACGCGTGTTTTTGCATATTTCACAGCCTTATAATCACATATTGGGAAAATATTTTTCACCGTTATAAGCCTTTTATGCAAGTTCAATATCTATTAATTAAAATGTATTAAGAAAATATACCGTTAGGCTTTTATAACAATGCTTTAAAATTTTTTTCTCCCAGCTCTATACTCTGGGCGACTACGTATGGAACTTGTTACGCGAGGATACCTCTGAAAAAGCCAAAAAAATCTGGAAAAAAATTCACTTTAAAAAAAAATAATAGTTTATTGGAAGTAAAAAAAATAATATTTTGTGTTAATTATTTTCATAATAATAATTTCATAAAATTTATCATAAAAAAAAAAATCCTATCACTTAGAGAGTGGCATAGATATTTTTGTGCATAATTTATGCATTTTAACCGAAAACAATCAAAAAAGTAACTTAAACAAACATTTCGTTAAATTTTGTCGCACAGTGTTATAGATTTAAATTATGATAATAATTTCCAATGGAAATCTTCAGAAATAAATTAGTTTGTATTAATAATAGAAAACTTGTTCAGGAAAATTTTCTAATTTTATGTGTCGAATTTAAAAGCACGTTTCCTCTAAGTAAGATTAGCATTTTCGGCTTTAAAATCATGTCCAATTAAAGTCTCCTTCCGCACTGTTTATACAGCTCAAACTAGCCAGCTGTGCCCAATTTCATTGGGGCATCTTTCCTTGTGCATCGCACTTAGCTAAGTATTCCGAAATGATTTTACCGTCTACGACTTTCATTTGGCCTTTTTAGCATTTGTGCTTGTTGCTCGTTATGCAAGTCACAGAAGCAGACACACATGGATGAAATCCGAAGCGCTGCAATTAGTAAAACAGCTTCCCGTTTTGCGTTCTGTTTTCATTGTGCTAATTCCGCGACTTTCCATTGTGTCTGCGTCTCCTAGTTTTCCATATATTTCTTTTTATTTTTTTTTCTGTTTGCTGCTTGCTGTTTGCTCCCTGTAATTTTTGGCTAGCCAACACGTTTCAAATGAGCAGAATTATTATTCGCATTATGTGGAGCAGACCGGAGCAGAGGGACGGATGGCATTTGTCTGGGACTCAAGTAACACGATTCGGTCAGATTACGTATACGCCACCGGGAGATCTTATTTTAGATTTTCCCGTCAGCCTCTTCTCTTCCCTTCTCTTGTTTTATCTCACTCTCTGCTGGGTGCTTAAATTCTGTAAGCCGCTGATTTTATTTTCTTCTTCTGTATTTTTTTTTCGTTTTGTGTCTCAGCCGACTGACAATAAATTGTTCGCTGCGAAATTGCATTGTAAATTAGCTTTTGATTGTTTTCCGCAAGGCAGAAAGTTATTATGCAAATGCCTGTAAATGTGACGCGATTTGCCGCTGCAATGGCTGCTGATTCATACCCATAAATGTCATTGATTCTAAATTAATGTTGGCTTTATTTTGTCGTGATAAATGATAAGCACAATTCCGGGCAATTGTTATAAACAAGCTGGCAAACAACCGAAATGCCGCGAGCAAACGAAGCCTAGAATGGCTTTCTCAGTCAGAGGCGTAGAAAGGGGGTTTCCCTTTCGGTAGAAAGGGGAATATTATCCACTTGACAATGGATTTTATCGGCTGAATATCCATTAAAAACATTGCAAATTTGTGACAGCCTCCCCGGGAAAACCACACCACTGCACCGCACTATTAATAATACTTAACACCATTGATAAATACGGGCGGCTATAAACGCCTAAGGCCGAAACCAACAGCAACAACAAATCATCCCAAAGTCGAGCCAAGGATCCGTGGAAAATGCGGAAAATTGTCTGGCCCGCCGCCGCCTACACTTCATAAACTACTCAACTTCGGCCCGGGCCAGAAAATGTTTTCCATCATTATTACATTTCCACCAAGTGGATTTTCCCCCGGCTCGCCTTTCCTCGCCATCGCCTCGGTTTTTCCTTTTTCCGGAGCATTGCTAAGCTAAATTTCCGCCGAGCGTTTAAATCGTTGCGGGGGTCGCTTCATCTGGTCGCCCCTTCAGTTTTCTTAAGCAGTTTGCGGTTAGTTAAACAGAAAATGTGTTGGTTTGACATGACTTCTGCTCATCCGAATGCAATAAAGAAATTCCTATCCCCTGAATTGTGAGTGTAATTGCAATTTTATAGAGGCAAAGTTGCTTGAGTTGCCGAACCATGAAAGAAAGGGGGTAGCAAAAGGGTCCCATTATCAAATGGAATTTATATATAAATTTGAAAGTTAAAGTAAATTTCAATCTTTTTAATTGACTCATTTACATTTGGTAATTTCAATTGCAAGCCAATCTTTATTAAAAATAGTATCTTAATTTTTGTACCTACTAACTGCTCAATCATTAACTTCTTTTAAGACCTTTAAAAAATAAATAACATTTTCCCACAACATCAAAATTTGAATGACTCGTAAATTATAAGTTGCAACAATGCGAGTACAAACAAATTAAATGTTATGCTTTGCATTATTATCGTACAGCTCAGAAATTCGGTTGGCCATCCGATCTTCGCATGCATGTCAAGCTAAACGCCAAATTGGTAACAAGAATATGCCGTCATGCTTATAGACAGCTTTATACACCCCATGATAATTCCATTGTTTCCACGGGGAATTTCAACGGAAACCGAGAAACCAGCGGCGCGTAAGTCAGGCAGTTGTGAATGCGAATCCAAATTGACGCTTAAATGGCATTCAAAACAAAAGCAAAAACAATGTGAAACAATCACAAAATACGGCGGACGAGTGACAAACTGACAAAGTGACAAAGTGACGGAGTGACTGAGCGACAAACTGGAAAAAGAACTGACGGACGGACAAATGACAACAAATGAGCTTTTTGAGTGTTCTGAGCTTGTTGTTGCACTTGTCAT